TGATGTTCTTTGACCATGTTGGGGACGAAAATTCTGTTTAGATTGTGTAATACTACAGAATAGGTAAGTTTCAATATGAATCTTACCCCATAGGATGGACTCAATAGCCCGGCATTGACGAAATTTTTCATCATAGAGCTGCCAATAGTTGGTATGATTGGCAAGGTTCTGAACAATGGACATATATCTGAGAATTTGGGGTGATTCTAACGGATATTTCATACAATAGATGTCGGCATATATTTGAAATGCTCGGCACCATACCATTATTGTTGAGATTTGTTTTGGGGCAGCTTTATGAATAGATGTGACTGTGCCTGAATTGCTTTTAGGGATAGTTTTTGTCTCGGACGTGTCTTTATTAAAATAGAGGGAAGCCAAATCTACATACTGCATATTCCAGATTTTTTCCTTAATTTTTTTGCTTACTGGCGGATGAATGGCTGAGAAAGTCCCCAAATCAACAGGCTCCATTTTCTTAGCAGGATGGTCATTAGAACTGTCATCAGACTCGGAGTCAGATGCAAAATTTGGATCGGAGCCTGTTAATTTTGGGAATCTGAGGATGATGATACAATATCATTGTGTGAGGCAATTGTACCATCTTCGTTCACTTCCATTTGTGGCTCGTCATTGATCAGTTCTTTTAACTCATTCATGAGTGTGTCATCTTTTGTGATAGCTGATGCTAGTAATTCGGCCATCCGGCTTTGCTTTTTAGCTCACCTGAGCATGCTCAGGGTGAGCTTTTAGGATCGATGATTGTCCGTCGGCCGTCGTCCGTTCACATTTAGTTGTTAACACTCTAGCGGTCGCATTTTTGCCTCAATCATCATCAAACTTGGTCAGGATGCTTATCTAAATGATAGCTCGGATGAGTTCGAACATGGTTCATCTCGGATGAGAAACTAGGTCACAAGAGCTAAAAATAGAAAAACCTTGTTAACACTCTAGAGGTCACATTTTTGCCTCAATCATCATCAAACTTGGTCAGGATGTTTGTCTAGGTGATAGCTCGGATGAGTTCGAACATGGGTCATCTCGGATGAAAAAGTAGGTCACCGGAGCTAAAAATAGAAAAACCTTGTTTACACTCTAGCGGTCACATTTTTGCATCAATCATCATCAAACTTGGTCAGGATGCTTATCTAGTTGATAGCTCAGATTAGTTCGAACATGGGTCATTTCGGATGAAAAAGTAGGTCACCGGAGCTAAAAATAGAAAAACCTTGTTAACACTCTAGAGGTCACATTTTTGCATCAATCATCATCAAACTTGGTCAAGATGCTTGTCTAGGTGATAGCTCGGATGAGTTCGAACATGGGTCATCTCGGATGAAAAAGTAGGTCACTGGAGCTAAAAATAGAAAAACCTTGTTAACACTCTAGCGGTCACATTTTTGCATCAATCATCATCAAACTTGGTCAAGATGCTTGTCTAGGTGATAGCTCGGATGAGTACGAACATGGGTCATCTCGGATGAAAAAGTAGGTCACTGGAGCTAAAAATAGAAAAACCTTGTTAACACTCTTGTGGTCACATTTTTGCATCAATCATCATCAAACTTGGTCAAGATGCTTGTCTAGGTAATAGCTCGGATGAGTTCGAACATGGGTCATCTCGGATGAAAAAGTAGGTCACCGGAGCTAAAAATAGAAAAACCTTGTTAACACTCTAGCGGTCACATTTTTGCATCAGTCATCATCAAACTTGGTCAAGATGCTTGTCTAGGTGAAAGCTCGGATGAGTTCGAACATGGGTCATCTCGGATGAAAAACTAGGTCACCGGAGCTAAAAATAGAAAAACCATGTTAACACTCTAGAGGTCACAATTTTGCCTCAATCATCATCAAACTTGGTCAGGATGTTTGTCTAGGTGATAGCTCGGATGAGTTTGAACATGGGTCATCTCGGATGAAAAAGTAGGTCACCGGAGCTAAAAATAGAAAAACCTTGTTAACACTCTAGCGGTCACATTTTTGCATCAATCATCATCAAACTTGATCAAGATGCTTGTCTAGGTGATAGCTCGGATGAGTTCGAACGTGGGTCATCTCGGATGAAAAACTAGGTCACAGGAGCTAAAAATAGAAAAACCTTGTTAACACTAGTGGTCACAATTTTGACTCAATTGTCATCAAACTTGGTCAGGAAACTTGTCTAGGTCATTGCTGGGAATAAATCGAACATGGGTCATCTCGGATGAAAAACTAGGTCACAGGAGCTAAAAATAGAAAAATCTTGTTAACACTCTTTTGGCTACTGTTGTGATCCAAATATTCTGTTAATTGGTCTGAAAGATTGTTTTGATGATTTCTAAGTCAAGATCGAACATGGGTCATCTTGGATGAAAAACTAGGTCACACCGCCCAAATATGGAAAAACCTTGTTAACATTCTAGTGGTCACATTTTCGACTCAGTTATCATCAAACTTGGTCAGGATGCTTGTCTAGGTAATTGCTTGGATGAGTTCGAAATCACATGTGAAACTAGGTCACCGGAGCTAAAAATAGAAAAATCTTGTTAAAACTCTAGTTGCTACTGTTTTGATCCAAGTATCCTGGAAATTGGTCTGAAAGTTTGTTTTGATGATTTCTAGGTCAAGTTTGAATATGTGTCACCTGGGTAAAAAACTAGGTCGCACTGCTCAAATATGGATAATCCTTGTTAACACTGTAGTGGTCACATTTTTGACTCACCTGTCATGAGATTTGGTCAGAATGCTTGTCTAGGTAATTGTTTGGATGAGTTTGATAAGTCAGGTGAGCGATCTAGGGCCATCATGGCCCTCTTGTTCTTTGGTTCATTTGCTAGTGAAGGGTTTACGCTTAGGCATTCTAAAATAAAGTGATAAAAAAAATGGTTAGTCAGCATTCATTGTAGTATTTACTAGAATGAACGAATACACAAAATTCAAAAATTATGTGCGAGGGGATATTCAATTCCCTAAACAAAATAATTTAATATCATTATAATCTATGTCATAATGTCCAAATATGAAAGAGTTTAAAACTTTAACCAGTAAAAGTGGCCAGACATAGGCAGTGATTAATGTTGAATAACATGTTTGTTTGTTTGTTTCATTTTACACCTTTTCCCAACAGTATTTCAGTTGTGTAAGGCGGTTTAATAACAGAACTGTGCCAAAAATAAACATTTTTTACATTGTATGACATAGATAAAGTGCAATGAGAGCACAAAGAATGTTGCCTTAAAGCAAAAGTAGATGTCTACGTGGTGTGTCGCAAAAAGGTAAAATGCATTTGTAAAAGGCTAGAAACCCAAAGCCAAAATAATTACCGAACAATAAATTATGGCGCTCAAAAGCGAAGTAAAAAGTCTACAACAAAGGCGTGTCGCACAATGCAAAATGTATAAAGTGAACACCAAAAGGTGTGTCGCAAAAAGCGAACTGGTAACTACGCCAAAGGCGTGTCGCAAAATGCGAAAACAGGAAAGCCAAAAGGCTTTATCGCACAGAGCGAAGATATAGAAAAGCTTCGCACATAGGTGAGTCGCACAAAGGCGAAAAAATGAAATGTAAATGAAATAAATATTCAACCTTCCAAATGGCAATGAATAACTGTCAAACGTCCAAATATAGCAATGTAAAGCTAACTAACCACACAACATTACCATCTATGATCTGCAAAATAAAGTAAAAAGTTAAATAAACAGGCAAAATATAACAGACTGAGGTTGAAAAAAAACCTAGAAAGTTCTAATGCAAGTGTCAGCATACAACAGAGCACCTCTGACTGAACTATAATACCGCGGCATTCCTCTAATGCTATCAACATGTACCCGATCGTGTGCAACATAATCTGAAAGGAAACGCCTGTTAAAATTGTTTCTTGAATATTAATGTGTCCAAAAGTAAAGACTTGATGTTTGCCTGCAAGCTGAACAAAGTAATGAATTAGTGCGGTCTACATTGGCATTATAGATTCCATGAGTCTGCCTATGGAGTATTTCATAAACAACAACTATCTTACAAACCTGTGAAATGAGTAATTTTGTTAATTCAAGCAACTGCTGGACCAGATTTTGGATAAATTGATAGGTCGCACAAATCGTTGCTGCCAATATCTAAGAAAACAATGTCACCTTGTAGATCAAAAACAAGATGTGGATCCGACCAAATGGATTTAGGGTGATGTGCATTCTTCAGATTTCCCCCATTGATCCCATGCCAGTACACTTGGAACCTGTTGTGATCAAGATTCATATTAATGCGATGGTTTTCAACACACAATCTCTGCAGTCTCTTGGTAAAAGAATGTCCTTAAATAAGAATATTAGATGAAACAGCCATCTAACTAAGTTAGGAATCCACTGGCACTACAATTATATAAATAAGTAACGTAAGAGAAGTCTTATAAAAAGGAAAGTCAAAATGTATCAAATAAAGAAAACGAACAAGTGTGCTGATAACTGTGAAATAATATTATTGTATATTCATTCACCTTACAGGATTAAATGTAAAACACTATTTCACTTATTACAAACAAAAGATGTAAACAAAGGAAATGAACCCACGCTAAAATGGCGGATGTCCGAAACTAGGTCAAAGACGCTTTCCTTTGTGTTTAAAACAGTACGGCATTCAGCGACAATTTAGTATAAATAACCCGTGAAAGGGTGTCAAAATATAGGAGAAATAAATAAGTAGTTAAATAGCACAATTAAGTCACTGATACTTTATACAAAAATACAAATGAAAAGAAAAACTTCTCTTTAGCGTCAATCTGCTTTGTTAACTTGAATGAAAACAACATTTGGTAGGTGGTATTTAGTACTTATGAAACCGGAGCGCCGTATTATTTCAACATCGGAAACTCTACCGCCGCAAGCACAAGATAGGAATAACACCATTTGGGGTACATGAAATCAAAACTTTCACACTACTGTGTTTTTTATAATTTGAGTAACATTTGGCACGTGCCTGTAGGTTTCTTGGTCTCTCAATAAATATCTCGAAACAATCAATAATCGAAGTCAGTCTAGGAAACTTTGCTGTAAAGGTGCTGGTGAAGTCAAATTTATTGTTTCACGGTCTGGCCATTTGATTAAAAAGTCTAATTTTGCACTGATGAGTGATATCCATAACCAGAAAATGATACTTATTGTAGCTACTGATACCCTTTTGAAGTCAGCTATCAACTCAAAGGCCATATCATGCCTCAACTTAACCAATGTAATGAAGAACTGATCTTCAAGATTTATCATCCTATTCTTTGGGGCTGGTTTTACAAATGTAGACAGAAACTGAAATGTTGTAATAAATGTTTCCCAGCACAATCCTGTATAAAACTTACACTTTTCATCATTGTTTTCAACATGTTTGAAACTTAAATTTGCACTCTGTAATGAGTCTGTAAGTTCTTTATTTTGTTCTTTGAGTTTCTCTTTTTCTGCACGGAGATTGTTTATTTCAATATTATACTGAGCTTTTTCATATTCAGCAAAATATTGACTATTCACATCTGCATGAAGGGGGGTGGCCATATACACCTCTTCTTCTTGTGAGTTTTCACTTTCACATAATGGTGATAGCACTTTTCGCTGACGCTTTGCTGGTGTTGGTGTATTAAAGGCTATCTTTCTTTTCACAGCACTTGCGAACCGTTGCAGCTTTGACTGATTTTCTTTAGGTGTTCTTTCAACATGCTGGAATAGTGATGGAATATGGTCCGGGTGTGCTGGGTCTCGATTTGGTTTGCCTGGAATGAATATAAATATTTGAAAAATTAACCAAAACGGTTAACAGAATGACTCAAGAGTCTTTGTAAGGTAGCCCGGAAAAGACTAAAGCTGACATCACATAATGATAATCTGACATATCTCATTATCTGTCAAGTGTCACTCCCTTGGGTATGAACTATCTCATTATCTGTCAAGTGTCACTCCCTTGGGTATGAACTATAATAGTTGTCATTAGTCATTTTCATTTCATGACAAGTAATGATTTACTAAATTTATATATGATTTATTGTGTCGCCTCTACGGAGTAGTGGCAACATATAGGGATCACTTTTCCGTCGTCTGTCTGTCTGTCCGTCCGTCCGTCACAAAACTTGTCCGTCTACTCCTCATAAACTGGTGCAATTTCATCCAAACTTTACAGGAATGATCAGTACCATGTCTAGTTGTGCATATTGTCAGCATTTTCCGGTTCAATGATTTTTGTCAGAGTTCTGGCCCTTTAATAACTTTTATTTTTAAAGTTTGTCCGGACTACTTCTCTTATACCACTAATGCAATTTCAATGAAACTTTACAGGATTGATCTTAAGCTCAAGTCCTTGCGCATATTGCACGGGTTTTCCGGTTGAATTATTTTTGGCCGAGTTATGGCCCTTTGATAAAAGTTTTTTTTCTGTGTGTTGCCAGATACACAAAAGCTTGTCCGGACTCATAAACTACTGGTGTAATTTCATCCAAACTTTACAGGAATGATCAGTACCAAGTCTAGTTGTGCATATTGTCATCATTTTCCGGTTCAATGATTTTTGTCAGAGTTATGGCCCTTTAATAATTTTTATTTTTAAAGTTCGTCCGGACTACTTCTCTTATACCACTAATGCAATTTCAATGAAACATTACAGGATTGATTTGTAGCTCAAGTCCTTGCGCATATTGCACGGGTTTTCCGGTTGAATGATTTTTGGCCGAGTTATGGCCCTTGGATAAAAAGGTGTTTTTTCCTGTGTATTGCCAGATACACAAAAGCTTGTCCGGACTACTCCTCATAAACCACTAGTGCAATTTCATCCAAACTTTACAGGAATGATCAGTACCAAGTCCAGTTGTCCACTGTCTGTCTGTCTGTCCGTCTGTCACAAAACTTGTCCCAACATGAAATTGGCCATCATGAGGCTACACATGTGATCACTGATTGCTCTTGTTATATATACATATACTGATTCGCATTATTAAAAAATGTGGAAAAGTTTACATCAACAGGATGAAATTTAACACGTTTGACACGAAGCCACTTGTCTTTAGTTATCCATTTCAAGGAACCATTATTTGATTTCTAAACGCTGATGTCTTTAAAAATCATGCATGTTGCATACAAAATTAAACACACAACCAAAAAAATACCTTCAATGAAGTGGTCACTACACAATACAGTGTATTTTCCCGGTAGCCATTTTGATCCGTCGGCATTTATTCTCTTAACAGCCGATATTCATTTGATACGCCTTTCCTGATCGCTTGGGAATGTAAAGAAAGAAATTTTTCTTTTCATCATTCCATGATTGCTGCATCCAACAGCACAACAAGAATTTGGCATTTTTGCCGATATTTATCGAATATTACGGAAGAAAACTATTTAAGTTCATGTATCTGCACTAATCAATATGGCGGAAATCGATTTGTTTGCCCCAGTAGTCAAGGGGCGCGTAACTCTTATCGACCTGCAAATGTCCGGATGTGTAAAGTCGAGAATATAGGTAACTAATCCAAAGGAAGAAAAATACCAGCAAGTACTGAAATCATAATAAGCCCCCATAATAAGAAAAATAGCATTTAGCAAATATAAACTACTTTATCTCATTACATTCTATTAAGTGTTATTTTATCTCGATTAAGGCATCACTACCTATGAGACCATCAGGCGATGCCGCTATATATGGTCTTTCATTGAAAATAAATAGACCACACTTCTGAACGTTCAATCCTGATTTTGATTGGAACACTTTTTATCCCTTTGATTCATACTGTTTTCCATGAATTATTGCTTTATTGCAAAGTCTTGATGTCTTCATGAAAGAGTTACATAGTTCATGTTCCTTCGTGCTGTAAGCTTACATACCTCACCAAAACGAGAAGCTGTTATCCTCCACAATCTTTCTTCCTTCCATCTCTTACAGTCTGCTTGTTTTCGCGTTTTCTTTTCCAACTCTTTAATGGTGCTATCTAAACATACATAGGAATTGTCAACCCAGTGTTCTGTGACAGGTAGATCCAAGTAATTATGATCATTTGCAGCTGCTTGCAAATCAGCTCTTTCCCACATATACTTCATTGTAATGTCCTTTGTTGTGTTTGCACAGTAATTCAAAACTGTACTCCTTACATGATCTTCATACCTTTCAATATTTCGATATTCCGGTGGCCTTGGGTCCGTCAGCTTACATTTTCTTGAGGTGTTTGGAATGTCTTTTGCTTTTACAGGTGTTCCAGCATATTGTTTCTTGGGCTTATGGAAAGTTTGTAAAATTTCTGTGCAGGACTGTTGAACTTGTGGGTCAGATCCGCTTTGTACAAAATCATGCAACATATAAAGCACAGCTGCTATGTGCTTGCATGTGCCATGCGGACCCTTGCCAGATGGACATTCACAGTGACTGTTTAGTACTTCACCATTATCTTTGTCCATCCTAATTTTGTAGTTGTATGTTAGTTTTTTACGCATAGCAGCTCCAACAAATCCTGTGAAAAATATGGATGGTGCTTTTACATTAATACTGCAGGCATATATCTTTTAACTCTCATACATTTTTTTACCTTTTTGTAGAGCTTTAAGATCTGAGATCTGTTCGTTGTCATCTGCCATCCTGTACTTAAAGTATCCATCTATTTGCTCTTTTGTTAGTTTAGGCAGATGGATTTGATGTTCAAGTTGCAATTGGTCCATCACCCGACCATTGGATCTAGAGGTTCTGGTAAAATCACTTCTCCTCGAAAATCTTGATTTCTATCATATGCCTCTAGTCTGTAAAATACAAAATCATTTATCATAATGTTAACAATATTTTTTAGCAGGTGAAAGTGTGAAAGTGCATTTCTTCCATTACATTATAAAACCCTAAATGAATCTGGATATTACAGATAAACAAATACACATCTGAGTAGTAGATGTAATAAAAGGCAGATAGGTATGAATAAATCTTATCAGTTTCTCTAATCTAGACACCTTGGGTAGTAATGTTATTGTATCTAAGCATCTACCTTCCTGACTGACCTATATAATACATGTATAAGAACAATGAGGAATGACTGTTGGTGTGTTAAATATAGCAGTTTTGATGAAAAATCAGTATACATTGTATTACCTTTCTATTAGATCCTCCTTTCTACCATTAATAACAGCGACTTTTTTTATGCCACCGCAGCATCTGCGATGCGGTGGCATATAGCGATTCACTTGTGTGTGTGTGTGTTTGTGTGTGTGTTCTATAGATTATATAATGAACTTAAAAAATCTTCTTGTGAAAAACCACTAGTCCAATTTCAACCAAACTTTGCAGGATCAATCCTTGGGTAAAGGGCTTCCAAAGTTGTTCAAAGAAATTTATTCCATGCAGAAATCTGGTTGCCATGGCAACCAAAGAATTATAAGAATAAATTTAAAAAATCTTCTTGTAAAGACCCAAAAGGTCTAGAGCTTAGATATTTTGCATGAGGCATTGTCTGGTAGACTTCTACCAAGATTGTTCAAATTATAGCCCTGAGGTCAAAATCGGCCCCGCCCCGGGGGTCATTGTTTTTCGCTATATATAAATATAGTAAAAAATTAAAATACCTTCTTGTAAAGACCCAAAAGGCCTAGAGCTTAGATATTTTGCATAAGGCATTGTCTGGTAGACCCTTACCAAGGTTGTTCAAATTATAGCCCTGGGGTCAAAATCGGCCCAGCCCCGGGGGTCATTGTTTTTCACTATATGTACATATAGTAAAAAATTAAAATACCTTCTTGTAAAGACCCAAAAGGCATAGAGCTTAGATATTTTGCATAAGGCATTGTCTGGTAGACCCTTACCAAGATTGTTCAAATTATAGCACTAGGGTCAAAATCTGCCCCGCCCCAGGGGTCATTGATTTTCACTATATGTACATATAGTAAAAACTTAAAATACCTTTTTGTAAAGACCCATAAGGCCTAGAGCTTAGATATTTTGCATAAGGCATTGTCTGGTAGACCTCTACCCATATTGTTCAAATTATAGCCAAAGGGTCAAAGTCCGCTGTTCAAATTATAGCCAAGGGGTCAAAGTCCGCCCCGCCCCGGGGGTCATTGATGATATCATCTATAGGTACTCTACCAAAGTTGTTCAAATTTTGCCTCTAGTGTCAAAATTTGCCCCGCCCTGGGGGCCATAGATTTTCCTTATAATTATGTATATACATGTAGTATAAACTTAAAAAAATCATCTTCTTTAAATTTACAAAGGCTATAGTTAAGATATTTTGCATGAAACATTGTGTAGTGAACCTCTAGCAAGATTGTACAAATTATAACCCCGGGGTCAAAATTGGCCCCACCCCCAGTGGTCATTCATTTTCACTATGTACATATAGTAAAAAAATAAAAAATCTTCTTGTCTGAAAGTACAAGGCTTAGAGCTTTGATATTTGGTATATAATATCATCTATGGGTCCTCTACTAAAGTTGTTTTCATTATGCCCCTAGTATTAAAATTGCCCTGCCCCAGAGGCCATAGTTTTACTTATATGTATAAAGTAAAAACTTGAAAAATCGTCTTTTCTGAATTGACAAAGGCTAGAGGGTCAATATATGGAATGGGAAGTGAACCTATAGCAAGATTGTTCAAATTATAGCCCTGGGGTCAAAATTGGTTCCGCCCCGGGGGTCATTGATTTTCATTATGTACATATAGTAAAAAATAAAAAATATTTTTGTCTGAAAGTACTAGGCATAGAACTTTAATGTTTGCTATATAATATCATCTATAGGTCCTCTACCAAAGTTGTTCAAATTTTTCCCCTGGTGTCAAAATTGGCCCAGCCCCGGGGCAGTGATTCTCATTATGTACACATAGTAAAACAGAAAATAAACAAATGTTTTCTGAATGGGAGAAAGCTACAGCTTAGAAATTTGACTTGAAATGTTGTTTGGTGGACTTGTATCAAGATTGTTTTGAAATAATCCCTTGGGTCAAAATTTTGCCTTGCCCAAGGGGACAGTGACCTACTTTCTTGTCCTTTGATGAACAGCAATGTAATTTTGACCATGTTCACAGTTTTAGTTGTAAAATTGAACTTTGATATCAGGTGACCTAGATTTTGATGATGTGACCTACTTTCTTGTCCTTGATGTGCTATGAAATTTGAACCATGTGCACAGATTAAGATGTAAAGTGAACTTTGATATCAGCTGACCTAGATTTTGACAAATTGTCTTTCTGTGTTGTCCTTTGATGTAGTCATGAAATTGAGGCTGTGTGATTTAAGACCTTCACCACCAAATTCACTAGACTCAAGTGCATTGTTATATTCCTACTCTGATCTTTTATTGGATTAACACTAGATTTAACCACTAATCTGATAATAAGAATTAGATAGGTCAGGAATATATGCATTATGACAATCTTCAATTGTATAGAAACAAAAAAAAATCTGTTCCTACACTACTATTTAGTTTTGTATTTATGCGGTGGCATAGCATTTTTCTCAAATGCAATCTTGTTGTAAGTTCTTTTTTCAGATTTAAGACACTCCATCCATAATAATGAGATTTCTTTGTTCCTGAATCCATGTTAACTTTACAGTTTATCATGTGTATATATATGATATATGGGGGTTCTACGATATAACTCATTTTTTTATGCCCCAAAAGGAGCACAAACAACAAAAAAGCGTTGAAACAGCAAAAACTGAAATATCCCCCAGGCAATACTGCAATACATATATATCGTAGTATCCGGAGGTTTGTGTGAACACATATATATTGTAAAAATTTGACGTAAATATAACTATTCAGTCATAAATGTGTATTCTATTCAGTCTTGCAATCTCTTGCCTCCAAGGTTTAATTACGTTTATGTATTTATGTTTCAATCTAATTAAGAAACAGAAATATTGTACATAGTTCATTTTAATCAAGATATAATTGCACATTCCATATGAACTTGTTACTTTATCTATGTTATCGAAATTTCACCCCTTGTCTATCACGAATTTGGAGTGGCTAATGGTTGATAACAATGTCACATGCTTATAACCACTTAAAAGTCACTTGACTAACATTGTAACACTTTTCTTGAATGAATAATTAGAACATTTATATACAATTCAACTGAAAAAAAAGATTTCCTCAACACCGTTATTCTGTTAAGGTTGAATCCAGACTGCGTTGATATATTCATTTTTAGCTCGACTTTTCTATGAAAAGGGGAGCTATCCTACTCGCCCCGGCGTCGGCGTCGGCGTCACACCTTGGTTAAGTTTTTCGTACCACCCCACTTTATTTCAGAAGTATTACAAGTATGGCTTTGAAACTTACCATACTTGTTCACCATCATAACCTCCATCTACAGACAAGAGTACATAACTCTGTCAAGGTTTTTGACAGAATTATGGCCCTTTTTTGACTTAGAAAGTGTATTGAGCTTGGTTAAGTTTTTTGTACCACCTCACTTTATTTCAAAACCATTGGAGGTATTGCTTTGAAACTGACCATACTTGTTTACCATCACGACCTTCATCAACAGACAAGAGGACATAACTCTGTCAAGGTTTTTGACAGAATTATGCCCCTTTTTGACTTAGAAAATACATTGAATATGGGTAAAATCCACTTATTGCCTTAACCCTTTGAGATATTGCTTTGAAACTTTTAATGCTATTTCACATCATTACCCCCATCTGTACGCAAGAGAAGGTAACTCTGTCAAGGATTTGTTTTAAAAATTAAGGCCTTTTATCGACTTAGAATCTTGGTTAAGTTTTTAGTACCAGTCCACTTTTTGACTGAACTGTTTGAGATATTAATTTGAAAGTTGGAATACTTGTTTACAATCATGATTCCCAAACATGTCCAGGAGAAGGTAATTCTGTCAAAGATTTTATTTGAATTATGGCCCTTAACTGTCAATGTTTTGTATTATAGGCAAGCACTAAAAAAACTTAAAAAATCTAAAAAAATTCATTCCTATCCACTTGTTCACTTTGCCATAAATTATGTCATATAAACATTGCTGTAATATTCAAGGGTATCAAACAACTAGTTTTTTTTTCTTTCTTACCAGCCCTCTTTTGACTTAAACATTTCAAACTTTGCTGCAGTGTTCAAGGGTATCACACAATTCAGTAAAATAATTCTTCACTAAATATCTTAATGCTCATGGCCATTGTTCACTTTAAAAATACAGAGATTCTTGTATTGCCTTTTACTGCAAAAACTTTTTTTATTGGCAAGCAATAAAAAAGTCGAGCGCGCTGTCTTACGGACAGCTCTTGTTTTTGTTGATTCTCGTCTTTCTCCTCCATACTGCAATTTCTCCTGTAATAAATAAATGAAGATACAAGTATTTGCAAATCAAATGAATGACTTTATTCATATATCAATGAAATTAAAGTAGTCAAAAAAAATTTGTTAATAAATATATCGACAGCAAGTGAAACTTACAAGACGTCTTCCAAATCTTCAGTCTCGTTTGTTTCCTTACTGGACCCCGCCAAGCCCGGAAGTATACTTTCAGATACGTCTTCATTGGTAGCTGCCTTGTCATGATGCGTCCAATCCGGGTCTGTGTTGAATTTCACTTTACGGACCATGGGCATATCCTGCTGCTCAATTGTTACTTTCTGTCCCTGGGCTATGACTTCAATGGATAAACTTAGACTATCTCGAATGCTCTGTCCTTCCTTACTTTCTAAGTATTTTAATAACCTGTCCTTGTGTTTTACAATCTGTGAGAAAGATATATCACACAGAATAAGCCTTGGGTAGTTAAGTATTACATTCAAAAATACCATGTACCTAGGAAATGTTCTGTAAACGTCAAGTTCCTCTTCAACAATTTGTTTGAATGATTTTTCTCCTATTTGAATGCTATTTGACAGTGTGAAGTATAACCTCCCACGACTGAACTGAGCAAAAGGTGTTAAACCCTGCAAATTACTTTCCAATTTTAAGAGTTGCACATGTTCCTTCTTTATATTTTCCATATCACACTTTTCATCCAAATTGGTTAGTATTTTGAAATCAATATCAATCTTTAGTTTCCCAATCATCTCTGCTGCTTCAATTTCAGCAATCTTCCTTCTTATCTGTGGAACAATATTCGTTTCAAAGAAATCTTTCTCCATTTTTAATCCATTTGACTCTTTTCCTTCTTTCCTAACGATGTCATAAGAACATTACATCCTCTTTCAAATTGTTCTCTGTCTTTAGTAGAAATAGTTTTTAATGCCATTTATATATATATATCTTAATACCGTCACAAATTTTAAGCCTATCATTTACCTAATGCAAATTCAGTAATAAAAAAAAGAAATAAAAAACTTACCTTTTATTGCTAATTCTTCCAAAGTAGAGG